ATAAAACTATAAAAAATTAAATTTTCCATAAATATTTTTCTATATTATTATATCTAATGTACATATAATGAAATCTATTAAAGTCAATTAAAATTCAACGACACTGCATACGTGTTTGATGAGGAAAAAAGCTCCTAAATTTTGTCTCCTAAATAAAGTCAACTCCAATATTATTGAAGAAAATAAAAATTTGTACGTATGTGTCGGTATGTGCTATAATCATAATCTATTATCTCAATTAATTACTTTTAATTTATGAATTGCCTATTTTTATTGATTCATCAATATTATAATATAATATTATAATAATATTTATTACACTACTCTATTATCATACTTCTAATTAAACTTATTTTAATTATATTTTACATTTTATATTCTAATTGGAAAGCAACTCTATAATTACATAAATTAATTTGTGCATTGCCATTTACTTCATTGCTCTTTTAATAAATTATAAATTGATTTTTCAAAGCCTTATCTAAATACGTGAAATTAATATTTAAAGATTAAATATGATTCGATGTGTATGAGTTCTGTCTCAAAAGCAGAACTTACGAAAGTAGCGCACTCATTTCGAGGAAAGTTGAGAAATTGATCGTTAAAGTTAATAGAGCTAAAAAGCAGGGGATGGCCAACCGTAGAAATAATCATACTAAAAACTTTTCAACATAGCCGCGCATGGATACTAATTCTTGCATAAATAAGTCTGGCTCTTATACATGCGAATATTAATCGACTAATGTCTATATAATTTTTCTATATATATTGTTAATTTCACCGACATTATTAGCCATTTTTCAACGTTTTTGCTAATAGGATTAAGGAAAGAAAAATACATAAAATATCAAATATTTTCATCTGGTAGTACAATAAAATTAAAAAACATGCCAATGAAAAACTGATTTCGTGCTCTGAATGAATAGAAACTGAAAACTTTTCAAATTTATTATTTCTGCATTTGGGCATATCATGATATTCTTTTTATGACTAAAAATTCAAACTATGAATATCTCTGTATTGTTTATTTTTCTAATAATATTTTAAAGCACTTAAAAAAAATGTTTCAACCATTATTAAAAATAAATCGTCAAAATTTTATATATTCTCATATGACATGTAATATGTCGGATGAATTTATTTAAAAGAGAAAATATTTAATGTATTCCAATACTTCATACTGCGTACTAAGAGACGTAAATCCTATAAGTTATATGCTAAAAGTATCTACTCATAATTTTAACTTCGATAAAATCAATTTTCAAGTCACAAAGTGTAAGAAAATCGCGAATAACTCCACTAAAGTATGTTGTTATAGGTAAACAACGGTTTATTTATTCAATGCATGACGATCGCAAGCAAATAGATAACTCACGCTGAGCCTCCAAACTTCTGCTTTCTTTCGTGCTTTATACTTGACGTAAAAAATGGGAAAGTGCCTCTGGATTAGGAAAGTCCGATCGCAAAGCAATAAAAATCGCTCGAAAAACGCTGGTATTCCGCACATTCGATCAACAATTTTGATCTGCCTTACATAGCCCCTTTTCGCGAAAAAATCAACCTAAATCTCCAACTTCGGACCCACCTCATTATTATTATCGTTATTATGATCATTATTGTATTGTTGTTGTTGTTGTTGTTGTTTTTGTTGTTGTTGTTGTTGTTGTTGTTGTTGACTTTATTATTGGTAATCACTATTATTTTAAATCGCACTCTCCTCGCTCATTATTATGATTTTTCGTTTTCTCACATATGAGCAAGTCGACGTATTATCGTCGCATCCCGTGACGCTGGTTAGTTCAATTTCTCGATCGGTCTAGTCATAACCATCCCCGTCCATTGCCATCGCGACCTAACTTCATGTGAACGACCGACTCCAAAGGTTATATCCTGTCTCCGTAGCAGCGCGACTAAATGAACTCGCCACCATTTCGGCTTATCCCCTTCGAAGTAGATGCAGCGCACTCGCCTGTGCCATCGTCGGTGTCGTCACTCTTGTCCTCACCCCTAATACTTTATCTCCCAAGCTTTAGCTTCTCTCTGAAATAGGTAGCGCTACTCTTGGCTTTTGGACTTCCCCTGGAGAACGCTTATAACGACAATGACGTATCGATTCCTTGACCACGGCTTCATTTACATCGTGCGGTTGCAGTATTTGTTTGGTAGCTTTCCATTTGGTATCTTCGTAAATGATAAATTACACACCTTATCCCTACGGCGCTTTCTCGCTTAAATTTTTGCCTGACTCGTCTCGGTTCATACTTGGCCATCATTCGTCGATGGTTAATCTCGACGGTTCGCTTCCACGTGAGTTTTCTTATAGCTCTTCGAATGGTCTGTAAACTGCACTTTTATTCGCGATTAAATTCAACATTTCGAAATCTTCCATCAACATTTATTAATTACGCCCTATGTGCTTTAAAGCTTTTAACAGCTTTTAATTCGACGATTGCCCATCTGATGATTTTTTTCAATACTATTTGTGATGATAACTGGTGGTTAGTAATGGATTAGAATAGCCTTTAAAATACATAAGCTTATTCTTTTTAAATTGAAAAATTTTATCATTGCGCGGTATTCAATTTTTTCAATTTTTATAAAATGCTCGATAGATAGCATCGATAGATATAAACGACTGGTACATTTCGTAATCGAGGATTCTAAATGACTAAAATTTCCCCTACTATCTTTTAAAGCATATGTGCTCGTGAAATTCGTATAGGTAGAACGAGTAACACTTCGTATTCTTATTAAGATAGAAAAAGTAATCTCACAAGATTATTTATAAGAAAATATCTTGCTCACAGTCAATATATATTCTCATTTAAATAATCATTCTATTACGCGTCAATGATTTAAAATTCAGCATATTACTAGAAATTAAAATTTTTTATTATGTTCCCTTTTGTAAATTTAAAATTATTCTTGTAAGAATACAATTTTTCTTTTAGCAACTTAACAGAATGTTGTATGTGATTATTATCGTAAAAAATTTCTAATTTATCAGAAATATATAAAAAGTTATTGAACAAACGCACGGGGAAAGTGTAAAGGCCAAAAGAAACATTATTTCATCTATGACGTGGTTGGTCATTCATTAATTTATTATTTTCTTTTTATCTATCTTAATTATCCAATTAACTATCTTTGTAGAAGTCGTAAATAATTAGTCCATATAATTGATTAGGTAACATTGAGCGACATAAGAATATTGAAAACTCTATAAATGAATACTTTTAGTTAACATTTCTACGATATTAAAAATATACAAATTCATTTATTTACATATATATATATATATATATATATATATATATATATATACATATATTCTCATAAATAATTAAATTATATTATAGAATTCATTTATTTCAGAATTTATTGGATTTATCATTAAATCAATTGGAATTAATATGCTAACAACATAACGAAGAAATTAAATTAATTGTAAGCAGAAAATACAAAAATAAAATTAACGCATAAATTATTTAATTTATGTAATTTATGTAATTTAATTTATATAATTTTTATATAAAAGTATATCATTCATTTAAACTTATAATAGACATTTTTTATTATATTAATTATATAAATTTTGTTATGCTTATACTTCAATAATATAAACATTTTAATTACTTCTATTTGTATTGTCTCGTTTTAAAGATTCTCTGTATATATTCGAAGTATAGCTTACATATACTTTGGCAAGAGTATGACTAATTATCTAATCTAAATTACTTACATTTCAATAGGTATATTTAATGTTTACAAGTTTTGTCAGTCTGTCAACAATCTTTTCAGAGAAAAAGTACTTCATTATTAAATATCTTTTAATTAATGTACTATCTTATTCTTTGCGATCGTTAAATTTATTTATTTTATAGTGAAACTAACATTTTCTTCTTAAGCTTTTACTTATATTTAAGAGCATATATATGAAGCCATAAAATAAATAATAAACCGTCGTGTACTTTATCAACCACTCCTTAACTAAAGAAATACTAAAAATTTAACTAAAGAAATTGTAAGGAAATTCTAAGTATATTTACTCACAAAGAAATAAAATTTTTAGTGCATTTATAAATTAAATATAAATTTATTTAAAGTAATAAAAAGTTTTCATGGAATCGATATCTTTAACGTAATGTTATCTATAATGTAAAGATATCGAATATGATTAATCAAATTTACAACTCAAAATGCATTTTTAAATTTGAAAATAAATTATAGAATTCTAAATTATACGACTAAAATAGAACATAAAAACACTTGATATACTAAAGTAAAGTTGAAAATGATTATATTAAAATAAACTTAAGAAAAGCAGGATGTGACCTAGTAAGATCGATGGATATTGTGAAAAATAGGAAAAACAATATTCTTTTATTGATCAGGCAATCAATGTTTTTAAATGTTATTATTGATAACTAGTTAATATGAAAAAATTATTTTAAATTTAGATTGATCTGATCGTGAATAAATAAGTAAAAAAAAAATATTTACGTTCAATAGATGTTTGGTGAAAATTAATTCTCATTATTTTGAATAACTGCATTATTATATTTTTTGAACTTTAAACTGCATAATAAAAATCTATAAATTATTATGCTTCTATTAAGCTTACATACATATTATTATATTTTATACGTCAATTAATAAACTTTTAACATTGTTTTTTTAATTTGTCTATATATTTAATTAAGAAATCATATTTTTCAGTTCTTTAATAAATATAAATAAATAATTTTAAAATATTTTACACATAAAATTTAACATTTTCATAATTTATTCTTATTATTTATCTAAATATTTGTTCATCTGCGTAGCGTTGTTTTAAAAAAAAGAAGTCATTGAAGTTTGATTAAACGGAAATTAAAATTATAATTCTGCAGCAAATCTTTTAAACTAAATATTTGTGGACCCGTAAAAAATACTCAATATTCCTTATAAGATGACTAATGTAAGTAAACTAAAAAAGTGTATGTATAAACTGTTTTCAGGTGAACACCCGGCAGCGATGCAACACGGGAACACAGCGGCTGGTTGGCCAACCTCAAGGACGATCCTCTTGGCCCTCGCCTTCTTCCTCGGGAAGCTGAGATAATGTGCGGACCAACCATCTCGTAATGAATTTACACCCAAACCTACACAATCGTACACCCAACAAGCCAATTGCTCCCCCATATGCTATGAAGAAAACAACTGCGAATGACGATTACTAAGATAATGTAATGTGTATGTGTGCATATGTGAAATAGAAATAGAATTAGATATACAAGACAGAAAGGCAATACAATAAGTACCCAATATAAAATACCGATGCAGGAAGATAACTATGATTTCATGAAGTTCTAGAGGGATTTGAGCATGGTTACATAAAAAAAAAAATATATATATATATATATATATATATATATATATACACGTGGATAGTGTGAAAGTAGTATGTAAGAGAGTAAAAAAGGAAAAGTTGATGATATAAATGTTAACGATTATAGATTAAAAATTTCCAATATTTCTTTTCTTTCCTGGAATATATATTGATTTAAAATTATTGCTACGGATAAATATCTAAATCCCTCTCTCCGTCTGTCTATCTGTCTGTTTGTCTGTCTGTATGCCTCTCGCTTTCTCTCTTTATCATTGTACTCTGATCAGTCTATCTATCTATCTATCGATCAGTATGTATATTTCTCTCTCTCTCTCTCTCTCTCTATATATATATATATATATATATATATATATATCCTTCTCATATTTAAAATTTATCCTTGCTCTATTGGTTTCTTCCTTTTGGTAAAAGATAAAATTGTGAAAGTGTAAGAAAGAGAAGAATATTGCAAAAGAAAATGGAGCAAAGGCTCAAAGTAAGTTAAAGAGAGAGTAAGAAAGAAAGAGAGAATAGGAGAGAGATAGAGAGAGAGAGAGAGAGAGAGAGAGATGGAGAAGTAGAAGTTGAGAAGAATGGAGAATCGCTATTTCCTTGAGAAGCCTTGAAATGCTTGGAAGAGCTTTAAATCGAAAGCAACGACAAAGGATCGTAAGAGGCACAAACGTGACGTCCAACGGAGGCTCTTTATTCTTTCGAGAGTGAGAGAGGAAAAGAAAAAGACAGAGATAGATAGAGAGAGAGAGAGAGGGAGAGAAAGAGAGATATAGAGTGAGAAAGACAAAGAGGAACTTCACACATTTGAAAACACGGAAAAGAAAGAAAATACGTAAGAACGAATGTATAAGTATGTGCAAGAGAGAATAAAAAGAGAGCGTAACGATATATGTACATAGAACTCGATCGGGTTGTGATCAGTCATGCGACAGTTCATGAAATTTAGCAACGTTTAAAAGGAAGAAAAGGACAAAAAATAGAAAGTAAGAGATGACACGGAGAGTGAGTTCTTTGTGAAGAGATTTTCGAATTAAAAACAGGAAAGATTAAGTGCGAATGATATTTTGACAATTTGAGAGAAAAAAAGAGTGAGATAAATAAACGATACATGTATAAGACAGTAAAAAAAAAATCCGTGCTTACATGTGCCCGTGCACGCGCATATTTGCGTGTAATATTAATATAAGGAAGTGAAGAAATAAATGCCTCTTCATAGAATGTACACGCATAAACACGTTATATACATACACACAGATAAACACTATATAAGATGAAAAAGTACACATATGCACACCTGTTATGCAAACAAATGTAGGTATTCAACGATGAACAGAGAAAATGAATTGCGATAACTATAAGAACGAACGAATGAAAATAGTGAGTAAAAGAAAGATTTTTTTTATGGCATTATATAAAGTAATGATTTTTCAATGGTTTACTTTTTTGCGTTGGATCGTCAATGTTTTCAAAGAAATTTTGGCGAATTGTGTACCCCTAAATCTTTCAAAATCGATACTCTTCGACGCCATCTTGTACATAATATTTTACTCTTGTAAATAAAAATCGATCCGTATAACATAAGAAATTTATTCTAGTTTTACTGTATCACCTTCCCTAATAATCTTCACGTATTGTCTATAAAACATAAAATTATAAATCATTAATAAAAATTTCTTTCACTATACATTTGAATCAACAAATCAAACATAACTTGTAAAAATAATATTCGCTTTTATATTTCAAAAGGTTTATAACTTATCCGAAACATTTGTTTATCTGATAAATAACTTAACAATATATCGATATTATTGCTTACACATATGTAATGAAACATTTAAATTATTGTAACATACACATTTATAAGAATGTGAACATGTGTAATAGTATTAATGTATATTAAATAATTCATAAATATCTGTACAAGATTTGTACATAAAACTGTTTTTTAAGTACATTTTCAATTTTCATTTTATGTCTTATTAATCTTACATATGTCATGTTATCGTAAATACAGTTTATATGTGAAAAAATAAATAGAAAGCATTATAATCCCCTGTATAAAATTTTATAAGAATCAATAATATTTTTGCATAATAATATTTAATATAAACGTCTTAATATACGAAGACAATAATTCTAATTGGAACGAATTAATAGACATAAAAGGAATAAGTTTAGTTTGAACTTGTATTATTTTAAAAATAATTTTTAATTACTTTTTTTAACTACGAATATTAATATTTAATGAAAAAATCTTTTATCACTAATAAATAATATTTAAAACATTGTATTTAAGAGGTCATTAAAGAACGTCTTATTAAAAACTCTTAAAAATTATTAGGGAATTGTTATTGGCGAGATAGTAAATTATTATGATAAACTCTTCGTTTATTCTCATAATAAATTATACCGCCCGGTTGATCGTAAGAAAAAATATACATTGAATATTGCTTTTTAATAAATTATAACATTGCTTACTCATTCACTAGCACGATAAACGATTTGCCAACAGAAAAACAGTAAGTTATAAATAATTATTCAACCATATTTCATTAACACAACAACTATATTCGTAAGAGATAATTTTCTTACTGTAACTTAACATCAAGATTACTTATAGAAAAGAATTCATTTTTTATATTAGTTTTTTTTTTAATATTATCAATTTATGTTACAAATAATATGAATAAATAAATGTTAACCCTGTAATATAATGTAAATAAGATCGATTTTGATTTAATACTTACAGTTTGAAGATAAAAGCATCTAAAAAAAAAAAAAAAAAACAGGCTCCAACATAAATTTAATAAAAATTTGTTAAACAATGTTTACACAACAAAGAGATTTTTCTATTATTTATTTAAATAATCTTTGTAGAAAAAATCTATTTGAAGTTGAAATAATTTTTGAAAAGGCTATGAATTGTTAAATTAAAAAATGCAACTTTGTCATCTTAAAATTTGTTCGAGTACTAATCTACTATTTTTAATATCATAAATGAAATTTCATAATTTTAAACAACCGTGTCAAGTACTCTTTTTAATGGGTTCTTCATTTCAGAGTGCGTCCTTAGATTTATGATAACAAGTCTTTAGATAATCAAAAGCTACACCGATATACAGTTAAGTAAATTAAAACAACCAATGAAAAGCACGAATGGTGTGGAATAATATTTCTAGATGAAGTCATAAACTTAAGTCACCAACAAAATCAACATAACGTTGATCATAAAAAAATATTATTCTCGCATAAAATATCCTGCTGTAAAATAATCTCCTACTTAAACATGTGAAAAGAGGAGTAAAAAGATTTAAATCCATAAAAAGATTTGATATAATCACTACTCAAATTCAAGACAATACAAGTGAATACAATTTAAATTAGTGTAATATGAGCAAATGTAGCATATGTAACTCATATGTAAATAAAAACATCTACGGTAATATAAGAAATAAAATGAGAAATTCATTAATAAATAGCATTAAACAAAAAATTCTGAGAACAATAGATATAATAATGTAGTCTAAAATATTTATTATTGTATTAATGACATATAAAATACATTTTTTATTTAAAAAAAAAAAAAAAAAAAAAAAAAAAAAAAAAAAAAAAAAAAAAGAAGAAAAGAAGGAAAAAAAGGCCGTATAAAACTTGAAGTAAATTACTCAAGGAATTTTATTAAAAAGTATTATTTATTGCCAACTAAAAAGTATACTATAAGAGTGAAGTAACACGTGTCTAATGAAAAATAAGAGAAGCTTTCATGTTCCCTTACAATTTCATTCCTTTTACATAAAAAATAGACTCTATTTGTAAAAACTATATCACTCTCTAAATGAACATATTGATGGATGAATAGATAAAATTATCCTAAATCATAATGTGAATTTTAATTTATAAGTTATTGAATAAGCCAGCCTTCCGAATACTAGTAAAAACAGTGAATAACAGTTGAATAATATAAAACTCAGAACTTGATCTAAGACACAAATCTAAATTAAAATTAAACCATAAATTCTTCAGTTTTTAACAAATCTAGCAAACATAATAATAAAACAAAATATGTAATAATAATATATACGTTCAAATTATGCAGACGCATCGATCTCATTACCGGAACTGATGATTTCAAATAAATGAAATATAATCCATATGTAAATATTATTTTCATAATAATAAAACAACGTTTCATCTACTCTTGACACTTGCACGGTATTTGGCATTGTTTATTTACCTGCACATATAAACAATGCATATCCTGAATATCAACTAACTAGCTGTTCAATTAAACAAATATAATTTCATTTTCTTTCCATTCACAATATATTAGATGAAATTAATGGATATTATGTACTCATTTATTATAAACAAGGATTTTAATGAATTATCAACTAAATATTTCCATCGAGCGTCGACTATAAGTCATTAAAAATTAAGTACATACTTAATTAAAATTCAATTAATAAGATGACCAATGACTTTTTCAATAATTATTTAAAAGTCTACTAGATCATTTAAATTCTAAAAGAATTTTTCCTAATTAATTTACTATTAACATATTTCTTTAGTGTAATTTACAAATTACATTATAATAAAATTTAACTAATTTTATTATAATTTTTTATAAAAAGTACAGAGTACGATATTTACTTAATATTTCAATTCGTTTTCGCTGTTTTTTTATACAAATAACAATTTCATTATGCAGATATACTGGAAAATATTGTATTTTTTACCATAAATTTATCAAAAAAAAATGTTATCTTTCATGATTGACAAATTCTTATAAACATTTTTCATAATTCTTTTGATTCTTGTGCTTTACAGCATAATAGAATGTACATGTATTTCTGTGAAAATTATATTTTCAATAATTCAACAATCGATCAACTACAGTAACATTTACATATTATCAAACTATTCTCTACCTTTACATACGAATAGGCAATAAACTTTCTTACATTTTTCTTACAATATTTCTTATAAAAATGCATAGTCAACCTTTAATGTTTATGAGAATAAATATTTGTTTAAAAAACTATCTTAGGAATTATTCCAAGCACTACACGCTACAGTAATATAGTTTTTAAATTACGTTGATGTTATTTTTATGGACGTATCTTTGAAATTGCTACAAATAAATTTATTCGTCAAGTTTTACTAATCTTGAATTTTTCATAAGGATGGCAATTTTTACATCAAACTTCGTAATCTCGCTGTCTCGTTCTACTTCAATTGGCATTAATATTCTTTTTTACTCGTAGCTCACGGTAGATGCAAAAGTTTAAAAGTAATCGGTACCCAGTTGCTAAGAAAAACCTTTGGTAACCTATCTTGTCTTAAAGCCTTTAATCTCTTTAGCACTATTTGTTTCTAATGTAAATATTTTTTTTTTCAACGAGCGATACATTTACCTATTGATAAAATAGATATACAATGTATATATATATATATATTTTTTTTTTTCACGTGCGTACATTTCATAGAGCATTTTACTATTCCATAGATTTGTAGTTTGTCTTATTGTAACATTTTTCTAAATTACTAGGGCACCATCGATTAAAAAGACAATTATAGATGTATGACATAATTATGAAAAATTGATATTGAAAAATCTATTGATCATTACTTTTTGCAATTATCTTATCTAAAGCTTTTTACATTTTACATTATTCTTAAGTACACCGATGTTATACTTAACTTTCTAATTACAATTCCGTCCCAAAGTTTAAATCATTGGTTATATATATATATATATATATATATATATATATATGCTTCTCAAAAAATATAAATAAATATAAAAACATGATCTAAATTTATTTATAAATCATTTTAAAATTAAAATCAATTGAAATATATAATATTCAAAATTTACCATACAATATTTTACAACTTCCTTTATGATTATTTGATAACTGTATTATAGACTATAAATGAAATAATACAAAAATATATATAATATTCAACTTCAATATATACTCTATTTTATGCTATCTTTTTTCATATTTGTTATTCATAAAAAAATATATAAAAATTGTAACTTTTGCAAGAACTTTATCAAATATTTGGTTATATCAAAATGTCGGAATGTTTATTTTATATATTGAATAATGATAGATTAGACAGCAAGTGATAAATTATGTGGAAGATAATAATTAATTAATAACTCTTTCCTTTTACACATTAGGTAATTTTTTTATAAAATATTATCAGAATTGAGATCGACATTTTATATATATATATATATATATATATATATATATATAAAATACTGTTTAAATTTCTTTATATCATAAATAATTATCTTTCAAATTCGAGAACATTGAAATTTTCTATCTCAATAATATTTAGCGATTAAAAATGGAAAATTCAAAGTGCAAATTTGTGAAAGAATTTAACGTTACTAAATGTGAAATTTCATAACCTTGTGTTTCATGTATAAAAATCAACAATTTTATTATTATTGCTAATTTAAAGTAATTATACTTAATATTTTATTGTCATAAAAAAATTTCTTGCAAAAAGGGACTGCATTATAGTGTTATTATATTAATACAACGTTAACGCTATTTTATAAATTGAAAATAATAAAATTGTATAAATATTACAATTATAAAATTATAAAAAATTAATATAGTTATATAAATATAACAAAATGTATTACAATAAAAAGATGTATTCCAATGGTTTTAAACAAGTTTGAACAATGTTTGTATACGAATTAAATATATTTTCTCATTATTACAAATCAAAGTAATCACAATATTAAAATAATTTCGAGACAAAAATATTATATTTTATTTGAGGTGTAGTTGGCTTAAATTTGATTTAAAATTTAAAATATTTGTATTTGTATGCAAAATACGGCCATTTAATAAACGAATGTAATTATACAAAGAAATTTATTTAATTAAAATATTAATTTTACAGTACTATCTTTGATATTTATATCGTATTGAAACCTATAGAATATTCGATAATAATAAAATATTTTTGGTAATTAAATGTTATTCGTAAACAGTAATATGCTTAATTGTTATAAAAGTACATTGTGTACTTTATTTAATAACAGCGTTGATACAACATAAAAATTCTGTGCATTTTAAGAATATCTAATAAAATGTATCCTATTCAATATATTATAATTATATCATGAAGCTACAATTAATTTATTTATTATTTTTAAATATTAATTATATACTTCATTTATAAAATCTTCTATCAAATGTAAACGAAAATTACAATGAAAAAATTATTGAAATATAACAAATAAACGATTATTCATAAAATTAATTTATATTTTTCAAATTTTTATATTATTAATTTTATCTACTTTTACAAATATCATGTTAAATCATTGGAAACATTGTGTTATTTTAAGATTTTCATAAATAACAGTAAGGCATCTGTATGAAAGTATATTCTAAAAATATTTATATAAAGCGATTGATAAATAATTATATCTCTCAAATGTTTTTTAACCTTTACATATTTGAAAATTGAGATAAAAATGATTTTTTACGAGTATCAATAATTATCTGAATATATTTAACTTATCGCTAAAGACTAAACCATTGTTTCGAAAATAAATTATAAATTAAACACTACGACACTTAAATAAATTAAAAAAAAAAATTAATAAATAATAATTTGAAGAAAATGTATTAGTGATTTTTGTGTAATGAGCTATGAGATGTTAAATGAATAATTAATTGCTTTAAATAAATTTATGCTCAATATTTGAGAAAATCGTATGAATTACAATCTACAAAATACTAAAATCTGTAGTGATGGTTCAGCTTACAACTTAATTTTTACAGATATGAAAAAGAAGAAAAATAAGTACGTTCGCCAAACATTGTCGAAAGAAACTTAAGATCTCCAATAAAAAGAAAAAGGAAACTAGATTTATCTCTAAAGACAAACTGCATTGCAATACGTCAATAAATTTAACATAAATTTTAATTTATCTCTAATGTCGATGAAAACTTTTTTTTTTTTTGAATTTAGCCAACTTTAATTTATCCTTCCATTTTCACTATCACCACAAGCACATCAAATGATTTTTCTTTATATAAAATTGTTTAATAACTCTCTTTTTTTTTTTTTTTTTTTTTTTTTTTTATGAAATATCGGTACATACTGCAAAAAACGTAGCTTATATACGCAATTATATTATAAAGTTTGAACGTAAGGGTATACTGGGTTTACCGATCTTCTTCTCTGATTACTTTTCCCATTCCACCGAATGACCAGTCCCTTCATTTCTCAAGTTCCGTGTAATGCTCCAACTTCAAACTCTCCTGAAATTTATCAAATAAACGTAATAGCGATTCTATATTACGCCATAAGTATATCTTATAGTTTATATAAAATATTTATTATACGCACGTTCGTGGGCATGGGTTACAATAATAAAATGGCCTGAAACAATTAAATATTAACATTCTATAATTGATAGTAAAAATAATAGCCATAATAACAATAAAGATGATGATGATGATGATGATGATAATTCAATTTCAAGAAATTTAATTAGTAATACGCAAATATAATACGAATGTATAGCTGTTAAAGGTCGTTTTAATGGTGCCGAATGGGCATTATTAAGCCTACAACGCTAATCAATGCTTTTAAAAATAATATAAAAAATTCTTATCTCTACTATAAAACCGTGGCAACACTAGGCGCTAGGCGTATGAAAATTTTCTCGAACACATCGAGAAAGAAACATCGGTCGAATTGAAATTTATTCGTGAATGAAAAATATAAAAGATAAGATTTTGTCGAGTACGTTGAGCATTGAAATAAATAAACAGAGCGATAAAGCCTATAAAGCAGTGCTTATAAAATACTTATAAGCTAAAGAAACTATTACATTTGTATAAATCGTGGGGTAATGTTCGCATAAATTCTTCGATTAATGCTGATATACTTCTCTAAACGCGACTTCGCCATAATAAACATTAAATACCACCAGGACGAATGGCATTCGTGATGGCACGATACCAACATTTAGATGGAATGTTCGCAAGCATACGTATCATACGTATCACCTTCCCGCTGATCCGACCATTCCATCCATCCTCTACCATCAACCATATGCATAGCGAATGCTATTATTTAACTTGGCGCGCATATACTTATCTTGCATATTTTATGACGCGTGTCGCACTCTTTCGCATAAACAGACGATAGTCTATGAATTATTATTCCCTTGATCATTGGATTTATTATGTAATCCTCCGTACGTAGGTCCTAAGTAATCAGAATTTTTCTTTCTCTCGGAAAGCTGGACACTTGTTTGGCGAAAATGGCTTGTAGAGATGCCAAGTCCACCTGTAAATTATGCAACAATCTATAATCCAAAATGCATTGTGACGCTCCGACACATACGAGTTTATATGACACACACACATTAGTAGCATCTCGGGAAAAAATGGGATTAATCGGAGAGTTCGCAGTTGCGTTAACAATAACATTAATACAAAATAGAGTCGAGTAGGTAAATTCAATTGTACATCGATAAAAAATAATTCCCCAAAGCTATTGAAAATTAGTATCTCGTGAATTATTGCTTTACAATGCATTGCAATTTATAATAATTTTATGCGTAAGCTCTTTCCTGATATAGTTTATCTTATAAATTATTATCAATTTATGCAATTTGATTTATAATATCATTACGTTATTTTTAAAACAATTTTTATCCTAATGACAAATTACGCTTGTTCTGATTATTTATTTATATATTTATTTATTTATTTATTTATTTTTTTTTTTTGTTCCCCTTTAATTATTAATTAATCATCACAAGTCACATAAATTTCATAATTTGTGCTACATTGTTCTAAACACTAAGCGCGAATTGGGTATAAAGACGCGCATAATAATTTTCAACAATAACAAGACTCAAAAAGGTCACCCAACCTAACCACATGTACAGCCGATCAGTAGTCGTTCTCGAAACTCCGTTAATTGTGTTGTAAGAATAGGCCACTCGTATTAGGTTAGAAGAAAAGATCGCAACGCTTAGTTAAGGTCTTATGTGTTTTTTAAATAATTGCCATATTCTCTGTAATCTTTGTTGTCTTAAATATAAGGCGTGGTAGCTTTGAACTATGTGGAAGTCTGTGACCCGAAGTATTCGAGAATCCTTGGAGCGTCGTACATGTCGAACTAATGTTTATTCCCAAAGTACACCAGACGGCAATGGCAATGGCAATAATATTGAACAAAGGGAGTTTTTTACGCCCATCGTCGTTTCTTCAATTTCACATGATTATTTTGGAAGTACTAAGCAGTCGGGTCCGCAAGACAATGATGAACAAAACAACTACAATGCTAAGTTTACATGGCTCAATGCCGTTAGCTGGGTAAGTTTTTATGTAATAAAAAAAAGCAAAACAAAAAAAGGGAAAAAAAAAAAAAAAAAAACAAGCGTGGACTAGCATTGTAGACAAATTGGAAGCTTCGTCTCAGTTTGATGAAAACAGTGTTTTATAATAAACAGATAATTTTAAGATGATCGATAACTAACGGATAATCTCTTCTTGTTTTTTTTTTCAGTCTAGCTTTTTGGCTGCTGGCTTTGTCGTATGCCAATCTCTCTGTCTGAATAGAAAATTATTTGAAATTGATAACAAAAATTTGGAAAAGTGGCGTAATAAGTTTTTACTTTATCCACAAAATCAAGTACCTACGCTCTTCAGCAATTTTGAATTACCTCAACCAAACCAAATTTTAGTCTTAAGCAATAAAACCAAAGAATACAAAAGTACGACAAAAATTTTAAACGTTACGGATTTAAATGTCCAAGAACTATATGGACCCTTTACAACTCATATCTTACCTATTAATAACGAATCAAATGAAACAGAAGATACAGCAGAAACATTAAATAACGATTTAGACGTTCATACATTATACGGACCTATTACTGCCGAAGAGGTAATATTTTTTACATATTTTACTTATAATAATTAGTTATTATAGACCTATTCTTGTAGATAATTTTCAATATACTTTATAAATAAATTTCTTATAAAATTTAATATAATATTAAAAAATTAATTCTACAATATAGGCTTTTGAAAAAGCTGCGAGTGAATTTTCTTACACTCACAAAGCAATAATGGGAGACTTAGAATTACGCTGTGGTTCCCAAGCTTTAGAAGAAAAGCGATACGAAGATGCAATTAAACATTTTATTATTGGAACGAAATTATCATCTACGGGAAGTATGTTTAACTTAGCATTATGTTATGAATTGGGCTTAGGAACTACCGTAGACTTTGTAAAGGTTAGTTTCTACAAAAATATTAATTACTATATAAGAAAGTAAAAATGTTTATCATTGAATCGGATTTTATTTAAACAAGTATAAATAAATTGAGGAATAATTTATATGTTTGTATTTAAAATTTATAATAATTCATAATTAATATTAATATATATATATATAATATGTGGGTATGCGTGTATGAATTTCTTATATTAAAATCCTCAGACATGTTTCTTTGAAACTACAACTTTTTTTTTTTTTTTCTTTTCACAGGCTGTTAAATATTATAAAAAAGCTGCTAAGAAGGGTCATATCGATGCCATATATAATTTAGGTGTTTTTTACGCTCAAGGAAAAGGTGGTCTAAAAATGAATAGAAATATTGCTCGACAATTGTTCACGAAAGCTGCGAAAAAGGGACAAATTGAAGCATTAAAAGCACTGCAATTAGAAGAGTCTCTAAAAAAACATTCGGATTTGATAGAAAAATCTAAATATAATTTAAAATTAAAAATTGAAAATAGTATAAAGAAAAACGTACTTACTACATTAAAGAATTATGATAGTGACTTGACATGCTTAAGCGAGGAAGTCAAATCTGATAAATTTAGAATCTCATTGGATGAAAATATAAATTCTGAAAATTCGACAAATATATTTTCAACACCCTCCGAAGAAAATTCATATCCTTTTAATGTAGCCTGGAGGGTTCAGGCTAAGAACCAGTGGCTAATAAATACAAAGGTCGGTCAATGGGAGACGAGAGGTACATCGAGTATCAAATCCTCCTTGATCTAAGTTTATCATTTAGGTAGTATGATAATTAGGTACATCATTTTAATCGATTTAAAATAGAGCATCGAATACCTTAAGTTACGAAGACATTGATAGTTAGTTAATTTACTCATTAGCTACACTACTCATTTGCTTCGCTATTGTATCTCACGAGTTTGTATTTTCAAGTAACTAAATAGTTCGTTCATCCTTACAGGAACCTGCTCTCACAGGTTTAACATACCCAAACTACTTCATTTGGCCGACTGTACGTTATGAATTGATTCTTTGGAATGGATGAGTACCACCCACTTATATTTCTCTTTTGTCTACATAAGAAAAAAAAAGGAATTTTTCAAAATTCTTGAATCGAAATGTTTTAACGATTAAATTTTGAATTCGAACGAGCAATCCCTAAAATTATCTCATAGATATTCGCAAACGTCGCAACCAACAGTCAAGCTCTCTATCAAATATTCGAGAAAATCATAGTTTCATTCAATCTATCGAATACTGGGAGAAAAGTTTTTTTAATTGAAAATCAAATGCCCCGAAGCGCTCGGGTGAATTTTACGTCATGATCACTTCATCAGTACCCGGTATTCTAGTCACCGTATTATTATCGTATTCCGGGGCTTTTCTAACGCCACGTAACATATATTGATAGTGAAAGTTGCGGCAGTGCCTTATGATATTACTATCATTTTTATGCTCCAGCCGTAAAATCTTTGATGCTCGTATACAATTCCTGATACAGCTAATCTTTAACGATTGGGGAAGAGATCGAACTAAGCCATTACAGAACCGATGCTCGGATATTTGACGAGCCAAGTGATGCTATTTTGTCGAATACAGTGAGTATGTATTTTATACGTAAATCTTCACGATCCACATAGGTATTACATAAAAAGCGCTTAAGTACTCGCTCGTCATCGCTAGACTGATCGCTAAACTTTACATAATATTCTTTGCTTCAACTACGAGCAGTGCCATCAAAACAATAAAAAATCTTATTCCAACCGTGATATTTATTAGTGAATATCTGTATTACAGGGCCAGGGTCCTTTGGTTACATTTTCAACTATTCCTACGGATCTGAGCATCTGATGGTTTTGAACGATAAGACATTTAAATAGTAAGAGCAACTTAAATAATAAGATAATATTATAATATGTGCCAAATGGCACTTACTCAAGTACATGATTTGTTTTACGCAATGTACATGCTCATAGGTACTTACTTATGTGTTGGGAGAGAAAATTAAATAAAGAAAACAAAGAAATAACTTGTATAATAGGGACAATAATATCTTAACTATTCCTAAAAAATATGGTTAATCCAGTTATATCTTTAGTATCGATATAAGAATATATGACCAAAAGAAAAGCCAAAATAGTGGTAATCCGTTTGCACTCGATATCAGGATACCATCGCAAATTATTAAAGAATATCTCATAATGTTGTATATTTGTTTCTACTATAGTTCAACAGTTAATGTAGGATTCCGTCTTCTTACTCTCATCGTCGGATTTATCACCATTGCTTGTCTCAATCATTATTTGTGCCTTATTTTTACCATTATGTTCACAGAGAAGTGCCATATCGAATAAATTTAACATTTAAGCATCATACAATTGTTCAACTGCCGTATTTCACGCAATGATAATCATTTATTTTATTGCCAACCCCAAGATCTGGACAGAGCATCTTTATTTTGTCGTTCCAGTTGGAATTTAAGATGTCCCGACAGGTTATGAGATATCTCATCTCAATGAACAACCATAAAATCGTTATAAACCTTATTCAATTTATACCTTTGGAATGTATAACTATTTCCTGATACGTTGGATTGTATTGATCCCACAAGACAAAATGTTTCTTATCAACTTTAGATCAGAGTACACATCTGTTTTGACAGTCGTTTAATATATAAAAGTAATGTGGAATTCACCATATATCTCGGCCTACGTTTATATCAACGTTATAAGATAACTTGAAGTAATTTTTAAATTACGAATAGACCTCGTGTTCTTCATTGCCAGTGGAGTAACAGTTGGCTTTTATCTTTCATGTCGCTGTCACAATACTAAGGGCTTCGAAAGCGATTATGAAATAAATTTAACAAAATAGTATAACCCTCTCTCTCACTCTACAAGATAAAATGTTCTTTAATATTCAGTTAAATAATTTAATTTGTCTGTTTAGACATTAACTTAGTATTTTAATGATTTGTATATAACTATAAATTAGATAGTATTATAATACAAAATGAAAAAGGACAAATATATATTAAATGAAAATCTAAAGATATTTCGATTCAAAGTTACTTAAAATTTATACCACTTAGATGGTAATTTACTTAAATCTAATTATTCATTTTAAACAGTTATTAATAATTATTTACATAATTATATTGTAAATAGTATATAAAGTATCGATTGTAACAAAGTACTATTATGTAATATATTTTATAAAATTAAGATGTACAAAGTTGTATTAAGAAATATAAACTTTTATGAAATTTAAATAAAATATTATATTTATTTCTTTGTAAAACAAAATATTTACCAATGAGCATTATGCTTTTCAGCCGATTTCAATAGAAAATCTTTATGATTAGCGTAAAGAATTAACTCGTCACTAATATCAGTCCATCTAACACTTTTTGCATCATCGCCAGCTTCTAAACTTAAGTTACCAAAAGTGTCACCGCTGTCATCATGAAAATTGAAGGCAATGGTCTCCATCCAAGCATTATCGGTATTTCTTGGGTCATCAACGTAGCCTTTATAAATTTCTTCACCACGCTCGAAAAATCTCTCCATGCATTGCTTAGCATTTTCTAACTCTGACTGATTTTTTTCAAGAGAATTCATAGCCTCTTCCATAAACTCCCTAAGTAATGTAGCAGTTACTTTTTCACCCGGATCAACCATCCCACCTGGTAAGGCCCATTCTCCCGAATCTCTTCTTTGAATACTGACAAACTGTAATATAGGTTTATTCGTAATTTTATCCATTTGCACACACTTATCTTTATTTCTTTTCCATCTTGTAACGATTGGATCTGCTGCATGATTTGGACCCCATCGTCCCAATATACCTCTACCTTTGATCCCAGTACGTCCAATTGGATTCAGAGGACAATTGTTTTTGTCAATGGAATACAGAGTTACAAAACTTACTCGATTAATTTTACCTATAATATTAATTCATCAGCTAAAACACAATTCTATTCGATGCTCTTGTAATTGTAAAATAGAGAAAATTATTAAAAAAGAGCTGTGTATTTTTGTTAAACTAAATAATTATTTTAAGTGACTTGATATTAACCAGTGATATCGACCGTATTCCATTTAGGTTGAAAATTTGAATCTTCAATATTTGGATCAGCCCAAGGCTTTCCTTGTAAAACTTTTGATGTATATTCAACAGGACAATATTCCGAAAAACTTGTATTCCACAAAACTTTCTCATCGGGAACCGTAAATCTTTTAACATTCGATGATGGATAAATACTATTTCTACATTTTTTATGGATCATTTTTAAAATCCCACGCTTCATAAAATGACTATAATATATTATATTCCTAACGCTATACACTTGATTTAAAAGTTGTAATTTGTTTTAAATGAAAAAATTATATACTTAAAAATTTTAATTATAAAATCTTAAATAAAATAAAGTAGTTCATTTTCTGAATATTTAAATTTTCAAATGACTTCAAAAAGTCATATGAATTATTCCTATAAACTATACAAATTATTATACAAAATTAGAAGAGTAAAAGAAAAGTCAAATTCTAAAAACTTATTTATTTTATCTTAAAACATTCGCATGTATATAACACGACTTGCCTTCATATACATACATGTATCCATTCCAAGAATTTGCCAACCCTAACTTAACTTAATAAAAGTTTTAAATAGTATTCTATCCTGCAATTATACTGAATTACAGTACCCGGCAGTCGACTAATTGTAATGAGGATATCCTTCTTTTCTTTGTACAAATAATGAAAAATATTACTATTTTCCTATAATGTCAAAATCTTTCAAGGTAGTGCAGTTTAAAATTATGATTTAATAATTTCACGTATTTGAGGGAATGTTATAACGATTCAGAGATCAAACATCATACTTAATCTAATAAATACGAGGCTACCAATAAATAATTATGTATCCAAGCAGCCGAAATTACCCTATGAGGTAAGAAACCGACAATATCAACGGAGCGCGAAGACAAGTCCTAGAAATCACTACCAACTACTGAAAAATCTAGGACTATATTTTTCAGACCGAAACAGTACTACACCTGAGATCCCAAATTTCCCAATATTCAACTCAATTTCGAGGTTTAGAACCGTTAAAGTTTTGGCGGTAAACAACTGTATAATATTTTTTATAACAAGTTTCGTTTTTTGTTGACTTAAAAAGAGTACGTAAATAACTGCTTATTTTAAATTATAATGAAATATGTTTGTAATTATTATACTTCTTGCATATATCATTATTTAATGAAAGTTAACCTCTTCTAGTGCCTCTGAAGAAAACGACGAAACGTCCCGCTCCAGCTGCACAAAATTCTCAACAAGGCACGAGATCTGTGAAACGTTCAAAAAGTATCAGAATAAAAAACAATAAGCCGGATAAAAATCAAGAAAATCATGGTAAATGTGTGCTATTTTTAATTCATAAATAATACATCGTTTGAAAATATACAAACGTTTCCCAACTGGAATAAAAATATTGAATTCAAACGAATCTGTACACACGTATACCTATATATATAACTTCATATTTGTTATGCATATGGATATATACATATATTTATTTATTTACGTTTCCATACTTATGCTATCATTATTTTTAAAGATGTACGTTTGATATTATAATTAGTAGAAATTTTTAAATTAACTTAAATATCAATGTATTTTTTCAAAATTGACTAAATCTGTTTATATGCATATATATATATATAAAAATACAAATGGATTTTCGTTTTAAAATTTATACATTTTAAAATATTTATTGGTAAATTATTTTACCTACGTTCAAAAGATTGGATATTAAGAAAGAAAATATATATTTATAAATAAAACATTAAAAATGCTTAAATAATATAATAAATAGTAAAAATAAATTATATTAAATTAAATCTTATGGAACGTTCAACGTTATTTTCAGAACCAACAGCAAGACTTATACTACGTCAAACCAATGTGGGAGGTATCGTTCTTACATGTGGTCAAGGCGATGTTGGTCAACTTGGCTTAGGAGAAGATATTCTAGAAAAAACCCGTTTTTCTGTAATTCCTAATCATTCAAATATTGTTGCAATAGCAGCTGGTGGTATGCACAATGTATGTTTAACAAAAGATGGTACGATCTTAACGTTTGGATGTAATGATGAAGGAGCATTAGGTAGAACTACTTCCGAAGAAGGTTCTGAAACTATCCCAGCATTTGTAGAATTACCGTTACCTGCTATTCAAATAACAGCGGGAGATTCGCACAGCGCAGCTCTCTTGGAAGATGGACGAGTCTTCATTTGGGGTTCTTTTAGGGTATTATTATTTACGTCTATTCGATGCATATTTAACATGTTCTATGATGCATAATACATATTATCGATATAAAATATTAATTTATTAAATTATTAGGATTCGCATGGAACCATGGGATTATTGACTAAAGATAACGAACGTTTCCCTGTGCAAATACCTCTCCAAAGAAAATTCATAAAAATCGCATCAGGAGCAGATCATTTAGTATTATTGGACGAGACTAAACAAGTTTACACTTGTGGTTGTGGTGAACAAGGTCAACTTGGCCGTTTACCTGAAAGAAAAACTGATAGACATAGTCGACAAGGAATAAATCAATTACTCACACCTGGCCAAGTCCATTTCAAAATAAACAAACATGTAGAAGTTGAAAATATTTGGGCTGGTACATACGCTACATTTATAAAGGATTCTCATAGTGGTGATATATATGTATTTGGTTTGAATAATTATAATCAAATAGGTATTATTCCTTTAATTACGTTTTTACACAAATTTGAATAATTACACAGATTTTAATTAATAAAAAAATTATTATAGGTCTAAAGGGAACGGATAAGCAATTTCATCCTATAGTTTCAAAAACATTGAGTAATCAAAACTGGATACAAATAAGTTCCGGTCAACATCACACTATCGCCTTAGATGAAAAAGGCAAAGTTTATGTTTTAGGTCGTAAAGAATATGGAAGACTAGGTCTTGGTGTGGTTGAAGCAGATGCAATAGAACTTACAGTTGTCCCTGGCCTGGATAAAATAAAATGTGTTGATGTGGCCGCCGGTAGTGCTCAATCCTTTGCTGTTACTGAAAGCGGTATAGTTTTTAACAAATGTTTACAGCAGCTATTAGTTCTCTAATCTTTAAATGCTAATCGTTAAAATAATTATTGAATTATTAAATATAAATGGGTGTAGAGAATTCACTCTTTTTTTTTTTTTCTAATTATTATTTTATAAAAATTGATCTTTAAAACCAAATATTATTGAATACAGCAAGGATAACTTCATAATTAATATTTTATTTCAGGAAAGCTATATGCTTGGGGCATGGGGACAAGCGGTCAACTTGGAACAGGAGAAGAAGAAGATGTAGATGTTCCAATATTAATAGAGTCTAAACAGTTAAAGGACGTACAACTAATTAGGGTTTCAGGTGGTGGACAGCACACTATCGTTTATGGATTGCAAACAACTATAAACAAAATTGTCGCTTAACGGCAGATTTAAATTTGAAATTTGTACCGTATGTTTGTTTATTAGTAGAAGTGTGCAAGTTATTCGATCCTAATAGAGACAATGAATTAAGAAACAAATTTACAAATATTTACGTAAAATAATTGAAAAAATGACAAAGCTGTGAGAGGTTAAAAAATTGACAACAAAAGCTCTAAATAAGAAACTATACGATGATCAATCATTAAAATATAAAAAAGGATCTGTTTTCTATTTATAAGTAATTGGACTAAATTCCTAATAATCAATTAATATAAAATTAACGTTTATGTAATATGTTTAACGATTAGTTAATTTAATAAATATGTTTAACAGCTAGTTAATTTAATAATAGCCGCATTTAAATATAAAAATTTATAGTGGCATTTATAAGATTCAGAATTTATTTTTGCATATTTCGCTCGACATTTTACGTTACACTTTTTAAATAGATTAAAGTGATGAGTATAATATGCACGTATAATATTTTGGACTTACAATTCACTGATCAAGTTTTATATTTATTTAATCAGGAAGGATAAAAGTCATAAATAACTGAAAAATATTTTCTTATCAAAAGTAATATTCAAAATGTCTTTGATTACTTATTATTCAATTAATTTTTAGATTGACTTTTTTTATTTTTACTTATATTAATTGCACAAGAATAAACATATAAATGATAAATCAATAAAAATAAACGTTGTGCCCAAATTAGTGCATATAAATGTATAAAGATTTTAAACAAGTAATTGTAAGCTTGTTTGCAATTTTTACAGTAATGAATTTTTGTTATGATATCATACAGCAATGTGTGTAAATTAAAATTTTTTTCTATTTGTTTATTAGTATTACTACTATTTTTATTTATCATTGTCATTAATATATACATACATATATATATACATATATATATATATATATATATATATATATATATATATATATATATATATATATATAAACATTATTACTTTAAAACAATTTTGTAAATTACAAAGACATTGTCTTTAATTATTTATATATATTTTCAATATTTTTTGAAAATAATTTAGCGCTATATATTGAATTAGTTAAATATGTACAAAAAATTGAATATTTTAAAAATAAATTTTTTGTATTTGCAATATTTTTTCATTTTACTCTATTTTATTTCTATTATACAACTAATCATAATTATATAATAAACACAGACAGAACCACCCGAATCGTCATTAATTTGCGATTAATCATAAAGAATCTATTTTATTTTTTTTTTTTTTTTTTCTTTTAATCTTACTTTTTGAGTTTAATTTAATTGGTAATTTGTTGTATTAGTAGTAGAGACTTTTTAAGTAATAAATAAAAATTATTTCTCAACGTCATACGCGAATTCACTTTGAAGAAAATAAAAAATCATAATAAAAATTTCGTCTTGCTAATTTATTAATATCATTTTTTCAGTTGTAAAAATTTTAAAAAATTGCATATTCTTGAATAGCATAAACGCAATATATTAATAAAATTATGCTACATCCACATAGTCGTCCTATCGGGAATAATATTCCATAAAAATTCATTTCGAATTAAACGGAAGTCACAACTTTGCAATTAATGGTAAAAATTAAATATAATAAATAAGCTAAATTATATTTAGCTTCGATTTAAAGTAAAAGAGCCAATCAGAATGTCTCGTATTATACTTTTAATATGAATTCGCGCTGTTTTACCGTCTTATCTGATTTCACCCTAAACCGAGTTCTTCCATTTCATCCCATGTGGCACCGTGTAATGACACTGATTCATCAGTGATACAAATATTTTTATATTATACAACTGGGATACAAAAAATAAGCTTCAATAATGGTAATTTATATTTAAATTATAATTATCTTACAATATTTTACCGTAAACGCGTATGGTAGTTGCATAATTTTCGCTTAAGTCTTTTATGTAGGTTAGAAAGTAGCATTAGACGCTCATGTAGCATGATCGTCGATCAATATAAACATGTTCATTAAACATTGGTTTAGCGCAAACATTTTATAAATGAATGTGAATTTTATTTTAGGCCAGTTTGAAGGTTGATAATCCAGAAAAACCCGTACAAGAAACAGCTCCGATTCATAGAATCAGGATCACCTTAACTTCACGCAATGTTCGTTCGCTTGAGAAAGGTAATACATTGTATTTTGTATATTAGAAAGAAATCGTTTCAATTCATCTAACGTAATTTTCCAGTTTGCGCAGAGTTAATTCAAAGAGGAAAGAAGCAAAAACTCAAAGTCAAAGGACCTGTGAGGATGCCTACAAAGATTTTGAGGATTACAACGCGAAAAACACCTTGTGGTGAAGGCTCGAAAACATGGGATCGCTTTCAAATGCGTATTCACAAAAGGGTTATAGACCTTTATTCGCCTTCTGAAATTGTTAAACAAATAACCAGTATCAATATCGAGCCCGGTGTAGAGGTTGAAGTAACTATTGCCAATGACTAAAGTGAAAATAATGATTTTATTGCCATCATTACATATTAATAAAAAACACTTTATAAACATTTATATTATACTTATTTTTATTTGATTCTTTTTGAGCCTTATATGAATACTTATATTATTGTTTTTTCTAATAGTGCTTATCTATATTATTATGTAGTTTCTACATATAATTGTGTATTATAATTTAGGATGTTAAGATGAATAAATATGTATAATTTGTGGATATAACATAACCTCAGTTTATTTAAACACGTGCGGGTCGGTGATCATTTAGTTTAGTGCTCATCAAATTTCGTTTCTTACGAATCAATCGATTATTCTGAACGGAAATATTTTTTTCTTTCGTAATTGGATGATATTTATTTATATTTTATGACTATTAATTATAATAAATATTAATATGTTTACATGTACTATTATTTAAAAATATAAAAATGTATGTATTTATATAAGGTTATGTATGATTAATTTAACTAAGATTGGTATTATTTTCAATAATAGAAATTTTTTAAAATTACAAATATGTCCGATACATCGTACTAAAATTACCCTAATCCATTGGAAATTTCGTTGGTTGGAAAAAGACAATCAAATAAACGATAAAACTTTGTTTTCTACATATTTCTCATTTATTTACATTATATTGACATGCAGCAAGTTACTTAGCATTGCAAAAAAAATTAATTAAAAATAGGCGGACCTATTATTACAAGCGTATCCATGAGTCTTTCAAAATTCCGTTAATTCTATGTAAAAAATATCATGTGATGAAGGATGAAAAATTTCAAATCATTTTCAAATAATAATTTCGAAAAAATCATTAATATATGTGAAGATGCGGAAATTTTATAAAATATTACAAGAGTTATTTATAAGAGATATTTAATTTGATACTAGCAAAATATAAGTTTTTATTATTACAAGTCCTTTAAAATATAATGACACGAATTAAAATATAAAAAATCGAAAATATATTAACAAATTATTATACATTATAAAGGGTTGAAAAAGATTGGAAAATGTTCTCATATGTTCAGTCGATATTTCAAGGTCAAATTCGGTGTGTTTTGTTATTAAAATCAATTGTTTATAAATGTACGCGCTGAGCCAATTTAATGAAAAACTTATACGTGTACTTAGTTGAAATAGAATTTTTAGTTCAATTACTGGCAAATTTTGAAAACTATATATGACATGACAACGCACAATAATAGATAAGAATAGTTATATGACTTCAAATGAAAATAATAGAAAATATAAACATTAAAATTTTCAACCTCCAGTTAATGTCTATATTTATAAAATTAATTGTACACAATAATTACTAAGATAAATATAACAAATAATAATAAACAATATATACATGAATTTATTAAAAATTATATCTACAGCAAGGAAATCTACCATTTTATGAAATTACAATGAAATAAAATTTATTTATTTTTAAATGTATAAATATTTAATTTTGTTCCAAATAAATAAACAAATATATATATATATATAAAGAGAATATTGTTTTTTTCATTTTTATTTATTTGTAAAATGTAATACATTGTAAAATGTAATGTTTGAAATTAGTAGTCTGATATTATGACCGTTGTTTAAAAATGTAACTGAATATATATTAACACATTTCATTCTTGCTTTGTAGAATCATTTCCTTTTTCATCATCATTTTCTTCTCCACTACTGAAGTTACCCATACCTTCATTCTCTTCCTCATCATCATCACCGGCAACTTCTGCATTTTCGAGTTCAGCTCTTTCCATTTGCTTAGCTAATTCGGCATCATCCGTTGCAGTTACCACTTTTGGCTATTAAAAATTAAATTCTTGTTAAAAACTGTTATTGCTAATATTGTTCGCAAATATTTAACTCGTTTAAGGAGTTTTACAAGAAATATTCTATATTTATTAATAATTTATTAGCGTAGTGATTTTTGTTAATCAGATAAATATAAGCATAAATCAAGGTATATTTGCTTAATTTTTGCATCTGATAAGCATAAGAAGTTTAATGTATTTTTGCTAATATAACTTACAGCCATTTGTATATTGAATACACCACCCATTGATACGATTTTTTTCCTAATCACTTCAATAGCGTCATTCAGCGCCTTTAAGCCATCAGCTTTTTCTGGCGATGATGTTGTAATAACATAAAGCGGAGGTGCTATTAAATTGATCTTAATAATAAGTTCTTCCGTAGATAAAGCTAAGCCGGCTTTCAATGCATCTTTTACAGCATCGATGCCTTCATAACCGTAACAGGCAACTTCGACATCTGCTCTTATTTTAACAGCATGGGAGGTCAACTTCCGTTGTATATTATTTAATAAAACCTCTTTCGTGCGTTCATCAAGACCGCATTCGGATAAAATTGACGGATCCCTAAAAGAGAATGCAAATTCTGATAGATATATATACTTGCATTTTATTCAATAATTACTCAATTTTTCATACAATACTGATTGTTTAAAGAAATCATATGCCGATGCTTTCTGTTTTTTATATTTCTCTTCAAAATACCATGCAGTTTTCTGATAAAGTTCTTCCAATTGATCATCGTTTTCATAATGTAATAATTCTGCCACGTGTCTCAAAATAGAATTCACAGCTTTGGCTTTCGCATAACGCTCTGTACATTTTTCAACGTCTTCAGCGGACACTCTCCGTTTACTTAAATCAATATAACCTGAAGTACAGAATAATAGATTAACTATAATTTCATATACATTGTTTATAATGCATTAAAATCTTTTACAATTTGTTTTACTAAAAAAAAAAATAATACATATAAATAGTGACGATAAAATTAAACTAAACTAGAGCAAAAGAACTGCAATAACGTTCTCATATCTTTATTAAGATAACATATTATACGAATCGTGTATCCAAAATATACAACTAATTTTGTGAGCCACAAAACATACCTTTTTCTTTGTCGACTCGAATAACAACAACTGGCTCTGTTTTTCCTACCCTAATTAATTTATTAATAGAACGAATACGCCTTCTTGATAATTCAGAGAGTAAAATCATACCCTCTATGTTATTATATTCAAGTAGGTGCACGTAGGCACCCATTTCTGCTATACTACGAACATTGACCATAACAACATCTTCAACCTCTGGATACTTTTCTTTATAAAATCGACAAGATAACACCATTTTCGTCTAATCTAAAAGCATAAAATAGCTATTTAAGGAATAAAATACTTTTATTTGAAACATTACAAAAGAAAAAAAAAACTGATCAAATTAATGGAATATAATTAACATAATGTAATAACATATGCAGGTATTTTTTAAACTAACAAAATACCACACAATGTACACGTATTAACGCGAATGAGTTAAATTTATAGGTTAAGTCCATTCAAAAAAGAAATATACTATTAATACATAAGCCGGTAGCGCAAAATTGATTCCAAACTTACAAAACTCAATTCAGAGCACACTCGCACTTATTTAAATATATTTAATAGCGTACAGACTTAAGAATATTCATTAATAACCCATGTGCAATCTTAACTGATTCCGCACAGCTGACGCAAAAGAGATGATCGTCGAAGTATCATAAGGTTCATTAGGTTCTAAAAGTATCAATGATTAAGTCTATATATGCCGTAGTAGTATCATAGCTCTGTTAAGTCTGATAAAGTTGTGTCGTGTGGCAAAATTTACAAAAGTTTTCTTCCACTGTAGGCTTTATTTTCATAAACTGAGGATTCAGAGTTTAAATTCATTTTGACAATCTATTTTTATATAACAATGCTTATTATATTTTAAAATGTTGACTAAATGAAAAAAAAAAAAAAAAAATTAACGAGAGCAAAGAACCTAGGAGAGGCCGTGAGTTTGAATTTCATTGAATATTATAATAAGCATTGTTTGTAAGATAGATAACAATAAACTAAGAGGGAAATTATTTTTTTTATTACGTTTTCTATATGTACTATAAATATTGATAAAACTAATATTGAATGTCATTAAATTACCGAAAAATTATCAAACATATTAATAGCATTTTTGTATTTTGAATATTCAAGAAATGTTATGTGTAATATTTCGAGGACAAGTAGTTGTAAAAATTAATTCTTCAATAGATTTGCTACCTTAGAATAATTTCCATTTAATTGCTGTATTTAAAATTCATTCGTTTATAACTTTTTTTCTTTTTTATTTATTTAATTTATAAGACAATACTAATGATGGATATGACGAAACTTCTTCTCAAACAATGAAATTTTACATGAAATTTCTTAATATTCTTTTAGACGCTCTTTATTAGTAAATTCAAATTCTTGAGAATATATTTACATATGCACACATACATCGTATTTTGAAAAAAAAAAAATTAAAATAAATAAAATGACAGAAATATTTTAATGAAAATAGGGTTAACATTTAATAATCATCAAGTCGTATTCAAGTTTTCGTAAACGATTATTAGATAATGATTCAAGGAATTATATTATCCATACAAATTATTTTTATTTTTATTAATATATAAGATACTAATATTTTATTTACAAGCAACTGTTATCATCAATCCTAATAAAGAGGGTAAAACGTTCTTTTTGTTATAATTCACCATCATGAAAAAAATTATTATTCGCCTAGCAAATATTTAGATGAAATTTATAATAAAATTTATATTGCACTTATAGTAGAGATTTTGTGAGTTTTTAAATTATAAACATTTATTATAATTATTTGTGAATACATTTATTATTCACAATTTTGAGATTTTTATTGAAAATGATCGTGAATTATGAACGTACATTTATGAAAATATCTTTGTACTTGCATTACAATATAATAATAAATAAAATATTAATCATCAAGTAAATATAAAATATTTCCGACTGCATTTAAAGCTTGGAAAAATTAATTCAATGACATATTAAAATCAAATTCTTTCAAAAGACTATATATTTTATTCGATAATCGATTTAATTAACAATTACATATTCGTTACTGTTTATCGATAGTCTAATCCATCATTCACCACCACAATAAAAAACAAATTATATGTTCATGTTCGCATAAATGTTCCATGAAGTCAGTAAGTACAATGACCACTCATAATATATATCGAACTCACAGTACGAATTCATTTATTACAATATTCATGATTTCATTTTTTCTCACACCTTATTACAAACAGACAGGGATCGCAAGAATATTAGCTTTTCAAATATATTTTTGAAAGTATATTAGGTCGCACAACTCAAATCAATAAGTAATTTGACTAATGTTTCATTTACATTCAATCTGAACACTTTGACTCGTAGCCATGAATAATAAAATTAGAAATATGTATGATTTTATGTCAAAGCTCACGAATAATATATTGAATATTTATTGTAAAAATTAAAATTCAATTTCACCTTTCATCCACAGTTTAATATCATAAGTTCTTCTTAATAAATTCGCCTTTATCAAAATTCAATTATTAACGATATATTATTAAAGGCCAAAACTCTAAATCTATACATACAAAATATATGACATTAAGTTTAACCGTTGATTTATAAATCAAACATTTCAAATAGGATCCTTATGAAATACGAATGGAAAACCGAAAAGAATATAGAATATCTTGTATTTAGCATAAATTACAAATTACACAATCAATTTTCAATATCCTTATCTACGTGATTTTAATAATATGTACCTTCCTTTATTTATATTAAATAGGTGAGAATTAAATATTATAAGTCCATTCTTTTATTAATTTAAATACGGCTTTCAATAACATAATAATCAACAGTAGAATCTTTGTCCTCGTTAATGTTATAACCTTTACGTGACTTAATACCCAATTATTTATAATTATTATTTAAAATAATTATTTAATACAATAGATGGCGGTTAAATAATTATCAATTAATAATATTAGACCGAAACAGATTAATATAAAAAATTTATCCCATAAGGATAAAAAATATCAATACCTAATCTGAATTGCAAATCTTAAATACAAAAAAAAAAAAGAAGAAAAAAAATCATATACCAATATTTAAAGTAAAATAAATATTTAAAAGTAAAATAAATTATTAAAAATATATAAAGAGAAATAATGGCCGATAATTTATAATTTACCGCTTGTTAGTTTGTAATGTAAATTCCGATCTCGTTGAACCTTAACCATTGCGGCGGGGGTGGGGGTTGGTGGGCGTGGGGTT